CCCCCGTCTGCACCGGTCGTGTCACAGGTACCCCCTCCGACTTCCGCTCACGTCGGCTCCTTGTCCCACTGCTTCAGAAGACGTGCCATCTCCAGCTCTCTGCTTGCGACAGCATTCCATGCGCGTTGTTTACATGACAGGTTACTCTCGACGGGTCTGGTAGCCTCCAGTCGTGTTGCTCCCAGCCGACCCGTGCCACTCTGTCAAGCAGTATATTGGTACCATGAGGTAGCTTCCAACTTGGACGAGGGAACCCATACCGGCACTCTCTTACTTTATGTAACGGAACACACCACCCCGTTCCGTTACAAAATTCGCGCGCCTGCTGCGCGGCGGCCAGCAGCGGCCAGCACCGTCGTTACGCACAAGTGGCGCCACCCAGCGGCAGCTGCGGCAACCACGCCAGTCCCCTGGAACGCCGAGCCAAGTCAGTCACGGAGCGAGAGCGGAAGCGAGCGGGCGGCACGTCGCGTCTGTCTGTGTGTGTGTGTCGGTCGTCGGAAGTCAAGTCCGCGTTGTCACTGCACTGTCCATTCGCAGCAGTTCATTGTTTTTACAATTTGTTTTCTCCGCTTCCTCGTCGTCCGTCATGGCACCATCACCAAGCCCTTCGGGTATATTACGCACAAACCATATCGTTGCTGTGACGTCGTTGACCGGCCACGTTTTGACCCCGTTGCTCTTGTTCTTCTTCAGGGCTTCCGGTGTCCGCCATAGTTTTGGCTGTGCCTCTTTTTAACGCCATGTTCGGCTAGGCGCTGTGTCGCCTATGGGCCCCACTCGTCTGCTGGCCACGGCGCTGCCGTTCCGGCCAACCCAACGTATTTCTGATGCGCTCGCCTGAGTAGCGCCCCCCTCCGCTGCCCCCACCTCCTGGCTGTCTCCGCGTCGAGCGTACCAGAAGGGGCGCTCGTCAGCTAAAGTGTGAACAGCTTTTTGTGTGCTATTGTGTCTAAAATTTTAATTGTATTTACTCACCGGTTTGAATAGTGCTGTGTACAGCACTTGTGTGTGGAATGAATGTTGTGAATTGTGAAGTTTGGAAATTGAAGCCAACATTCCGGTGAGTTACTCAACTGTGCCGCTGTTATCTGTTTGTGTTTGTTCATGTGTATCTTGTATATTTAGTATTGTGGGCCTACGTTTCGTGTGTTATTTCGCCGAGTATAGCGTGTAGTGTGAAACTTGTAAATACCCTGTTTTATAGGGTTGGATATTTTTGATAAGTTTCTGACTCTTTGAGTCTTGTTTGTTTAAAGTTTTTGCAGTGTATCTGCCCTAGTGTTTTCCTGAGTGTTTCTACTCTTGTTTCCATAACTAAAGCCATTTCTGTACGTTTTTGTACTTCTGTTTGTTTAAATTAAATTTGATGGCTTTATAGCTAAAATAAATAGCTTTTCGGTACTCTGTTAAATTTTGGGTATAATCATATTAATTTTTGCAACATCTTTTTTTGCATCATCAATATCTCGCACTTGAGTCGTCAGAACCCGGAAGAGCAACGCTTTGTCCTGACTCCAGAACTTTTACAACCGATATATCGTTACATTTAGTGTGGAATTTTGCAGACTCCACTTACCTACTAAAGTACTCTAACAAGACCTGAACATTCTGACCTAACATCTTCTTTCATCTGCCTTTATCAAACTGTTTTTCAACAGCTCGTAGGACTGTCTACCAAAAAGAAACGTGGGCCCCCTTCCCCTTCCCCCCTTTACAAGAGGGTGATTCTCAGAATACGGGCCGTTTAGATTCCGCGGCCCTTCACAACTATGTGATATAGTTTGAAAAGGTTTTTATACCATCTAGATACTCGAAAGCACTAATACTACCTGGTGCAACACTAAAAACCTAAGAATACTGCAACAGTAGGTGACTAGAGCAGTTTAAATGGTCAAAATGTGAACTCCAGTACGTTCCTAATGTC